CAGTGATAGCATCTATCCACTTGGTTGTCTTGAAAAGCTAATTCATCATATTAAATGAAAGCACTTTCTAAACTGGGAAGCACTGTCTTACTTTTAACCGAAATTGCCATGACTGTCCTCCACCTGTGCACACAATGTCCAGCTTCCAAGTCTTCCCCAGCATTTCTAGGGGTGGCATCTTGTATACACTTAGAAATGGGTCCACTTTGTTAGCAAAGCCCCCCCCCTCCGCTCTACCCTACCAAATCTGTGCCCTCCAGTGGGCATGGTGTGTTCCCTCCTGCGCCTGCGTCCTGCCCATAGCTCTGCTGTGGCTCCACCAGGAGAGCGCCTGCTGGTGGCTGCCCTGATCCCTCAGGACCACAAAGTCACAAAGAACAGAGAAGGATCACGCTCCTCCTTGTGGCCTCCCAAGGCAGCGTAGCCTGTTCCCCAGTGTGTGAATACAGAGAAGCAGCTCTTTTTTTTACTGTAGTAAGATACACATAACATAAAATTTGCCATTTTAACCATTTGAAATGTATGATTCAGTGGCTTGAGTACATTCCCAGTGTCCAACCATCACCACTGTCTAGTTACAGGACATTTTCATTCCCTCACAAGAAGCCCCATATCCGACAGCAGTTACCCCCGTTCCTCCTGTGCCCACATCCTGGCATTCTCTTCTCTGCTCTCTCTGTGCATTTGCCTTTTCTGGACATTTCACAGAAATGGAATCATACAGTATGTGGCCTTTAGCATCTGGAGTCTTTCACTGAGCCTTGTATTTTCAAGGTTTCTCTTTTTCCCTTACCTAGTGCTGTTTCTCTCCCTAGGACCAAGCTTGCACCAGGGGATGGGCTAAGGTGGGTCTGGACGGCCACTACCACCATGCTCCTGCCAGGATTCCTGGTCACTTCCAGTCACGAGGGCTGGTGGCTTCCTTCCTCCTTGCATGGATCCTCTCCCCCTGTAAGCATCTCTGCAAAGGCCCCCCAGTTCCCAGACATGCCCAGAGGTGTGCAGACATCAGCCAGTATTACTTCCCTGCAGGCTTTCCACCAACCCACCAGGTGCCAGCTGTGCCCACATAGCCTGAACCTGAGGAGCCCAGGAAAATGCTGGAGACCCCAGCGAGACTGATTACAGTAGCAGGATGTTATTCTTTGGTGTGAAGTAGATGAGGCTGTTGATAAGAATCACACTTCCCGTAGCGTTTGAGTACCGCTTTGCTGTTCTCCAGAATCTTTCACAGATTTGCCTTTTGAATGAGGGTACGTATGACATTTTTGACTTTCTGCTCCCCTGCCTCAGAAGTACTCCTGTGTAAGTCCGTCCAGTATCATTCTTACCCCTCTGATGGTGTGGGTGTATTTATCTGTGGGGTCTACTGAGGAAACCTTTAGCAAAGATTCAGAATTTACAGTTGATGTGTAGAAACAAACAGGTTCTTGGTTACCCCTTTGTCATATTAGATGATTTATCTGGGGAGTTCAGAGCCACTGTTTTGCCATAATGCTCTCTTCTCTCTAGGAAATTCAGAGTTTGATGGAATTTTGTTATGTGTTTCTTTTCAGAATTGTAAGTTTTTAAATTTTCAGAATGTATTTCTGTGCATCTCTTTTTCTTTCATAGCTGCTGCTATTGTAGTTAAATTTTACATTTAACATCGGCCTATGGGGTGTATCGTAACCAGACATACAGGAAACAATCATGAAAGGACAGAAACACCAGGGAGGAGAGTAAAATCTTTAACCTTGCATACCTAGGGTGTGAGTTTCACCCCAACACGCATCACTTTATCACAAACATCCCTTGTAGTGCAAATAGGTCCCTGAACCTTCCTAGCTTTATTTCATCTTTCTTTGTCATTCTTCTGTGTTCTTCTTTCACTGTGCTTTATGAAATAAGCCCTCTAGAGGCATCGTATTTTCCCATTTTTTTACTCTAATTTTCACGTGATCGTGTAGGTGGCTTTGGCGATTTTAGACCAGGTTACATTTCTTTACACCCCTCCTGCTGGTCTTTGCATCCACTACATACCTGAACATATTTCATTTTCCATTATTTTTTGCTTGCAGATGCCAAATTAGTTTATGTACTCAAAGGGGTTTGCTTAGGTTTATGCCTTTCCAGTCAAGCTGCTGTTACGGGAAAGAAATACCCAAGCAACGTGAACTCACTGACATAAAGAAACGGAGATACATTTGGGACCACGTCTCATTAGTAGGTTAGGGTCGGCTGCACCTATTGTCTGCCAATATCGATCTGCCAATATTCCCCAGTCTTTCCTGTTTCTAAAAGCTGATTTAGATAAATGCTTTTCTAACCAAAATCAAACAGTATGGTATTTAAGTCAACCATGAAAATAAGCGCTGACATATGTGCCCCACCTGAAGGAAATCAGGAGAGGCTTGATTTGAATCAGGCAGGAGGCCAGATGCAATCAGGTTCCCAAAGTCCGTGACTCCACCAAGGAGAGGCCGGACCCCCCGCCCCAGGATCCTTCAGATTGCAGGAGACCTGGGGAGGCCAGAATTGAGCTGGGCTCCCAGATCTTCAATAACATGTGATTTTGTACAATAGGAGGAGGGAGGGGACAATGGCAAACTAGGCTTCCTGCTAAGTTCTGATCGGGTGATGACGGGCACTTTCAGCCCTCACACACATGCCACCTCTACCTCAGTGTCACACTACAAGCCACAGAATGCCTGGATGTACCTGCAAGGCAGCACATGCTCTGGACAGCTTGTTCATGGCCCGGTGAGGACTTGCTCTCCCCCCTGGCCCATCATGGAAGCCCTCCTTGGTGCCTGAGATCACAGAATTGGTATTTGGTGTCCCTGGGGATGCTCAAGCTATTATTTCACCAGTACAGTTATGCCTTCCTTTAAACAAACATGATTTATACGTTTAATAACTGACTTACACCAAAGGTTAATTGGGAGGATCCATCTTTCCACCACGTTCACGAGATTGGCTTTCTACCTTCTCTAGGGTTTAACGTCACTCAAAACATCCCAGACTCTCAGTTGCAGGCAGTCTGTTCTCCATTGTCCTTGAGAAGCATTGCCCAGGCCACACTGTCCTCTGGATGTCTCTCCAGCCTGGAACATGCTCTCTTCCTGCACCTCACTCTCCTGAACCCCCTCTGCTCACACCCCACATCCACCATGAATGCTGCCTTGGCCTCTCCAGCCCACCAGGGAGCCCTTTCCTAATTCTCTTGGCCCTTTTGGTCAGTTTCACACTGTTGACCATTAAGTCCATTAACTGATATGTATCAAGCATCTACCATTAGCAGGACTCTGTAACAGGTACTTCCAAACCTGATTGCTCCTGATAAGTTCATCTTATTTTCTCAAATAGACTGTGAGCTCCCTGAAGGCAGGACTATGTCTCCTTAAATCCTACATATTACCAGGCACACTACCAGTGCCTAGATGGCATTCAATAAATTTTACAAAATGATTCTTAATTTTACAAAACTAGTCACTAGTTGATTTTCTTACAAAGTTCTTCAGGTCGCCTCAATATATGGCTCAGTGTACACGTATTTTTCAAGAACATATTTGTGTGAAGGCAGGTGTGTCATATGTCACTTTACAGAACCCCTCGATCTAAACAATGAGCATTTTTAAAAATAGGGACTAGTTTAGTGTTGCAAACGGGAGTACTTACCTTTGGAAATCTTGACTAATTCTAGATAGGAGAGGAGCAGGAAGACATCGCAGCCAAAGCCCATGGCTTCAGCACTGATTCTATATTAATGTGCTCATGGGCTTGATAGAAAGCTTTTAGATTTAGGCAAAGAAGGGACTGAACTAGGTTCTTAGCAGTAATTTTCTGCGACCATTCTTTGGTCAAACTAACTGGCTTCCTGTTGCAGAAATGCTCCACGTGAGGTGGTTGTATGAGGACAGATTTTGTGTGCTCAGCGCTGACGGCTTTTCTCACCAACTCATACCTGTCCCATAGCAGGAAACTCTTGAAAGCCACATCCATTCTCTCGTCCCTTGCCTGTCCTGCGGGTGCAAACGTGTGCAGTCACCACACTGTAAAACTCGCAGTCACCTCCCGTGACCCTTCAGTTTGAGGGCTCTGTCTCTTCAACCAGCTGGCAGAAAATTCAGACTCAGGCTTTTGACTCTGCAAAACTGAGAAGCATGTATTATCTTTAAATTTTAAAAAAGAACACTGTAGAAACTCAATACTAAGATGGATAAGCAAATTGGTAGAGGTCTGAAGTGGCCAGTGAAAATGACACCACTAAATGGCACTGATGACGAATGGTAGACCACAGACACTTTAGTTTCCTGTTCTCAACTCCAGGCAAGCACTACCCAAAGAATTAAACTGGTCGAACTTTAAAAATCTAAATCAAATCTTGAAAGCATGAGTATATTTTCCAAGCAGTATGGAAAGAAAGAGAGGGAGAAAGTACTTTTAAAAAACCTCCATCCCGGGCCGAGCCCGTGGCGCACTCGGGAGAGTCTGGTGCTGGGAGCGCAGTAGCGCTCCCGCCGCGGGTTCGGATCCTATATAGGGATGACCGGTGCCCTCACAACGCTCACTGGCTGAGCGTGGGGCGGCTGGTCTCAAAAAGGACAAAAAAAAAAAAAAAAAAAAAACCATCTCCATTCCTCCTACACCCCCTTGGC